TTAAGTTTGCAATGCACTGTGTTGAACATCTAGGTAGCTTGTCATTATCTTAAAAAAAATAAAAGTAATCGTTTCTGTATGAGTAAATTATGACATTGTTTATTATTATTGTGATCAAATGACCAAATGATTCTGCCTGTTAAAGCTGTTAAATACAAAACTGACTAAATCTCTGTCCTCTCATTAACATTCCAAGCCCACCAGATCACAAAAACTAATTTATTGCACATTAATTCAGCATTGAATTTAAAAATGCATAAATATTGGCACATATTTTACACACACATAACATAGAGGGAAAAAAAACAAAACATAGCAATGGTTTGGGCATGGATCTTCCAAGACATTACAAAAACACAAATGACTTGAGTTTAACTAGAGCGGCTTTAAAACAATTTCTTATAGCCATACAAAGTTCATTAAAGAACTCACCAATTCATCTGTTTTACTTGAGCTTTATATTATGAAACCAGAAAGGAAGCTACTGCATAAAATCTTTGTTAATGTTGAATTTTAGAATTGTAACGTCTCTCTTACATGAAGCAATACGGTACAGATGTTTTCTGAAGGATTAGTAATCCTCTTTAGATCATTTGCAAAGCAATTAGGCATGCCTCCACAAAGATAACAGCCTTAAGAGATAAGATGCCACTCGCACAACCTTCCAAATGTGATAGCTGCCTTGGAGCCCTGATACCACCAAGATTTTCTTAAATCCCTGTAAATGAAATTAGAAAAAAAATCTATAAAAAGGTTATGCATCTCCAGTGCGATCTATCATGTAAATCTATTAATAAATTTAATGACCTCATTCCTAAATCCTCAGTTATAAGATGTAAAATAACTGCATCATAAATACTATACAACACATTTTATACACTATAATTAGTTCAGATGCATGGTGTCAACAATAATACATACATGTTATATATCAAGGCAATTACATAAATACATTAGCTGCCAAGAAACCATATGACAGAGAAAGATGACTACCAGAAAGTCAGGGGAAAATGGCTCCATCCTCATTCGAAGCCCGTCCAAACCTAGTGAATCTCTTCTGAAATACAAAGTGAGTTGAACTAAGGTGACTTACAACATGCAATTGTCAGCAGGAACCAGAGAGGCCTTTTTGCATACATTTTCATCATCAGTACACATTATACAGCAGGGACAAACGCCACTGACAAGAAAGGAGGCAGCAAAAAAAAAAAAAAAAAAAAAAAAAAAAAACCTAATTCCCCTTTTCCCTGGGCCCCGGGTCCAAGGGGGCACTGTTTTGGGGGAATGCAAATGGGTTTA